GAGTGAGTGGGGGCCGTACCCAAGGTTTAAGTACCCATAAAAATCTAAAGTGTTACCCAACTATGACAAAGGCTACTTAAAGGATCATGGGACTTAGTAACTAGGGTTATAATTAGGGTAACTATACTTATAAGCCCAATTAAGTACTTATAACCTTACTTACTAAGCCCCATGATCCTTTAAGTAGACCCTAAACCCTAAACCCTATAGATCCGTTTAAGGAACCCTATAGATCCCTTTAAGAAGCCCTTTAAGGAACCTTACTTACTAAGTCCCATGATCCTCCAAGTACTGCTCGAAAAGAAGTGAGCTCCAGCCCCCGTTCCCCAGCAGCCCCGCAACAATAAGGATACTAATGATTAGGGCTTAGGGTTTAGGGTTTAGGGTTTAGGGTTCCTTTAAAGGGGTCGATATAAGGGTTACTATAAGGGCTACTAAAAGGATTTAGTATAGGGGCCTTAATGATTACCTATACTATTTTGGGGGTTCCTTAATATGAGCATAGTATACTGGGCCCCAAAGCCCCGCTCCGATTATTAAGGCCCCTAGATCACCCTGTTTGGTACTGTTTGGCTTTGATAAGCGAACCCAAAAAGGAATAGGGCAAAAGGGTACTACTTGGGAAGAGGCGCGAATGTAACACAGGGTTTTGGTGCGTTGTATAGAAAAGCCGCATGGACTGTGAAGGGATACAAACTCCGATTATTCATGCGCACTTCGAAACGGAACACCAAAACCATCTCCAAAACCCCCCAAAGAACTCGGCTAAACCATCCCGAAGCCCTAAATCCAACATCCGAAGAGCCCGACTGCGCTGAGCTAAAACCTGAAGCCCTAAACCCCCTAAACCCCTAAACCCGAAACCCTTAAACCCTAAACCCTTAAGACCCCTAAGCCCTGAACCTTAAGGCGCTAAGGTCTTGCCTGTCCGAACGACGGATCGGAGGGGGTTCTGTCCGCGACATGATCCTAGCCTCACGGGGCGATAGAGGTGTTTTTTGCACGGGTTCAAGGTGAAGTCTGTCGGGTACTGTGGGAGCCTGGGTAATTTTAGTAGGGTTCTCGGGTATACTATTGTTATGGTAAGGAATGCGAAGGAATAGTCGTACCGCAAGTATGCAGGCGTCTAGATGCGTGCAAGGTTGCGGTGGGTGATGGGGTCTACCTTAACCTACAAGAACTTACTTTTTTGTAGGGTCCCTATAAATTCCATGTTAGGCTTTATAATAAGAACCTACAAAAAAGTAGGGTTCGGTAGGTTAAGGTAGGGCTTAAGGATTTAGGGCCAATTAAGGCTCTTCTGGTTTAGGGTTGTGCCAGAAACCCCGGCCAGCTGGGACTTCAAGCCACTTAAGCCTCGGGGCTTCGGCAAACCTCGGAGCTTCGGCAGTTTCAGAAACTGCGGCGGAGTCCCGTACTTACGGCTAAGAATTTAGGGTTTAGGGTTTATGGTTTAGGGTTAGGGGCAGACGAACCTTAGCTCGGCCTACCGGAAACCCCACCTAAAAAACTAGACGTATTTGCTAAGTCCTGATGATGCGATTCAAACGCGGAGGTATCTAATAAGGGTCTCTTTTACAGTAACAGATATGATGAAAAGGGTGCCGTGCCATATTTTGGGTATGTCAAAGGGACCTAGCTTAGAGACTTACCAAAGTAGAGGCTTGCAGAAGCACCTGGGGATCTTGACTTTGCGACAGAGGCTCCTGATCATGCTGACGGGTTCGTAGAAACCCCATAAACTTCACACCCTCGACCCCCCAGACTCCAAAATGCTCAGCCCCAAAAATCTAAAGACCCTCGAAACTCAAACTCGAAAAAACTCAAGCACTAAGCCCGTAAAACCCGGAAAACCGCCCATAACATTCATTCAATTCAAGCTCATTGCAACCCGACAAGCAACTTTATAACATCCATACAGAAGTAAAGCCCTTGGACAACCCTATTACGATTTCATAAAGCCGCATCAAAATCCATCAATACCTGTCTGTAGGTTTCCGCAAACAAAAACCTCTTCAAAACCTGAGCCCCTAAACCACAAAAAAGAAGTGGGTCCAGCCTTAGACTCGCGGCGCGGTGGCGTTCGCATGCCATCGTGGAGGGTGGCGCCCTGGCTTCAAGGCTTTTCGGGCCTCTAAGTGTCTTATGAAGCCGTCTGAAAGACCCCCTACAAACTCACAAGACCCGAAGCCACACTTGCAAAAATAACACAGCCAGACAGACAGACAGACAGACAGACGCACACCTGGGCGCGCGCACACATACAAGCAAAAATTTCAAACCCGGACAGCCCCAAGCTTACCTATCGACCCTAAACCCTTCTGGAACCATTGGGGTCTAGGGGTTTAGGTGTTTAGGGAGGAAGGTTTCGGGGTTTGGGGACCCTAAACCCTCTGATTCTAAACCCTAATCAAATAATGTAGGGGCCTTAAAAAATAGCATAGGGCGTTGGGGCCCATCATACTATACATATAGCAAGGTACCCCCAAATAGTATGGGTAATTGTTAAAGCCTCTATGGAAATCAAACCACGGCGTGGCCGACGCTACCCGGCCGCGGAGCGCCCTCGAAGCAGAGTTTCGCACTCGAGGGCGGCGTCCTGCGGAGATGAACTGCTGGTGTACTTGGAGGGTCGGGGGACTTAGTAACTGGTTATTTTAGGGACTTATAAGTACCATAACCCCAATTAGGGTCCCTTTTAGGGTACTTAAAAGTCTACTTACTACCTACTTACTAAGTCCCCCGACCCTCCAAGTCGGGCTCCCTTACGAAAATAGGGGACCCTAATGTAATACCCTAAATAGTAGGATCCTTATTATATAAGGACCCAAAATAAGGAAGGGGCTCGCTTGAATGGATCTTTAGGGTCTGGGATCCTTTCAAGGGCTGGTGTAGATTCCTGTAAGGCTTCCTAGAATCCTAGAAGAGTTCGACAAGGGATTTCTACTGAGCTATAGTTTAGGGCTTAGGGTTCCTGCGGTTGCAACACAAGTACCTGCTTCGTGAGCCGTAAGGAATGTCTAGCTCCACACGTTAACGTCGTGAATGCAGACTTGCAGGAGCCTCTGTACTCAATGTGCCGTGGGTCTTACATACATCTAGGTAGGTGTATATAGGCATATATATATATATATATATGAGAGGATACACAGATGTTTGCATATACATCTCAGCTGGAAACAACAATCAATCCATCGATCGATCGATCAATGAATCAATCAATTGATCAATACATATATATATATACATATATATATATATATATACACATATATATATATATACATATATATATACATATATATATATATATACATATATATATATACATATATATTTTAGTATACCCACACATGGGACGAATAGCATAAAAGCCTGCAGTCAAAGTGCAGACAAGAACAAGAACTTCCCCTCATCCAGGAGGTTCCCGCAAGCAAAATCAATCTCATCAAAGGTTTTGGGCTCGCGGCTGAGGGTTTCTTGACCTCAAACCCAAAGCTCTAAAACCCCAAACCCTAATCCTTTACCCTAAGCCCGAAGCTCAAAAACCAACTTGCAGCTTTGGCCCTGTCCTCCACGCCCGGCATGGTGCTGGGGTTCGAAAGCCGCGCGACGGGCTTCCTTTAGGGTTTAGGTTTGGACATAGTGTGTACAATTTCAAGGAAACCCCGATGCTTCAACCCAAAGCATCGAGGTTCCAGTGGTGCAGTCACAATCATCTGACCTATAATATGCCTGTCGGGGCCTGATATGCAATATGCAAGGGCCGCAAGATTGAAAACAGGCGTGGGGGGGGTAGCTGACCGTGTATATGTACAATGTACATGTATATACCACGTATACGCATATCATTCTGGTTGTATATCTATTTACGGGGACTAGCCGGGGACACTCTTACTTACATCCCTGGAACACATCACACTCTGGAACCGATTCGACATGTTTCGAGACACAGGGGTAGGGCAATGTAAAATGACTCTGATGTCGCCCTAAACCTTAACCCTAGAGCCTAAACCCCTGTGACCCGAAACTCTGAATTCTAAACTGATGGGAGGCCAAAAGGGGGGTTTAAGATTCTTGGGGTAGGGTTCCTTAACATGAACCCTATTATGGAACCCTAATCACTACTAAATCCCCATAGGCTAAAGCCCTTTGGCCTCCTCTGAATTCAGGCTACTATTAGCACCCCAAACAGTAGGATCCTTATTATAAGGACACCAAAATGAGGAACCCCTAATTTTCAGAGCCGAGCCCACAAGCCTTCTACCATCGCGAAGCTTCTCTCTTCGCTTCGCAAGCGCTTTCTCGCCCAGCCTTGCCATGAGAGCAGGGCAGTTGAGTTTCGGGCGGCTTGAGGCTGTACCGGCTTTAGGATTTAGGGTTTAGGATTTGAGGCGTCTGGCCCGAGCGCAGCTAAAGCTTAGCGTCTCCGTTTGGAGTTGTTTAGCTTTCTGCGTATAGCAGACCCCAGCTATTGCCATAGCGCCGCCACCTCGCTCCTGGAGGGCTTGCTGGCTTTTTATTCACAGGGGGCGCTCCCCTGTTTCAGGTTTCGCTGCTTCGGCCGAAACCTGACGCGTGCCGCGACTGGGTTCGCATGCGCGCTGCCAGAACTTACTGGCCTTTGCTCCCACTCTTCTCCTTTGGGATCTCTTTGACTGCGTGGGGAAGTTTTGGTGAGCAACAGATACATTACTCGGGCCTCGAGCCCACCTTGGCATCGCAGGCGGCGAAAAGCCCGTGCCAAGGCCAGGAGTGCTCTTCGAACTGGCAGGTATTCCCAGGCAGCATATCGGCTGCTAGCTCATCACCACGGTGGGATGCCTCCCAAAACACCAGGAGCATCAGTGTCAACGAAGGCGCAGGGTGGGAAGCAAAAGGGTCGTGGAGAACCCCCTGCGCAACAGAGTCGTGTGGAATTTGGGCTTCCTCAGACCGTCGTCCAGGCTGTTCAATCAATCTCCACAAGAGCCACGCAGGACCTCTGGTCCACGGCGCCGATGCCCTTCATGGAAGGTACAGCCGAGCAGAACCTGCAGCGTCGTACAAATATGACCAACAAATTGGCCAAGCGCTTAGCAGGCAATGCTCGCGCCAAAGCCGACCTGGGTATCTCCTTGCAGCAGTGGTTCCTACAACTGGGGCAACATGCGGCTGGACTACTCTCGCAGGTTCGTGCGATAGGCCAAAGACTCGATGCAGATACCGAGGTAGCAGCTGGCGAGATGAGGGACATCCTTGCAGGCCAGCCTTCAGAATCCACTTCGGCGCAAGTGGACAGAGCTCTGGCTGCGCTCGGACCTGTATGGGGCCCCTTACAGGAAGCAGAGGTCTTACAGATTGCTGCCCGCTTGCGAGCTTTCGGTGCTACTCCTGCCATAGGGGCCCCGTCAACGGAGGCACCCAGTGGTGTCGCGCCGCCATCCTTTGCCAGTGGAGCAGTGATGTCTTTTACCAGACCCGAGCAAACAAGTCCCGGTTCCGAAGCCAGCTTTGGTCCAGTTGGTTTAGGTCAATCGGGCACTGCTGTAAGGGAACTGGACTATGGTGGCCGTGGACGTCTTATGGATGGCGAAGACTTCGCCGTTTTCGATGGTTTTCCAGATCTCCTTGGTCGATCTGGCACTACCACAGTGGATTCAGAGTCGATGGGTGGCGACGGAGGCCCTTCCGGCTGTGGTCGAGGAGGGCGTTGGCGAAAACGCAGTGGGGTCATACCCGATCGGCCTTCCAAAAGCCCTCGCCGCGAGGCCCCGGCCGAGCCGTGGCGAACCGCCGCCACGGGTCTCACGCCAGAAGCGGTACCTCGAGTACCACAGACGACCGTGGTGGAGAACGACGTGGAGCTCGCCACCGAAGAGACGGGTCCTCCGGCGGCCGAGCTGAGCAGCCCCGCAACCAGGCCTACCGCGTTGACTTGGACCCAAGCTTGGCTCTATATGCTCAAGTTTGCAGCCGACAACGGCGACGCTGTCATTGGAGAAGTTGCTACCAGCGACACCCAGGACCTTGCGATGCCTCTGCCAAAGGATGGTCTCGAGCCAGCAGCGGTCGTGGCAGCGGCCGACAAAGTCTGGCAGGAACTTGTGCAGTTGTTACGCGAGCCCGGCACTACCTCAGACTTGCTGGCCAGCCTGTATCACAGCCTAGCACAGATCCTCCACCATATTCGCTCCTCTCCTGGGGCCCTAAGCCAGGTGAGACAGGGACTCGTTGTTGCTGCCCAGATTTCAGCAGGCAACCTCCTAGATCCCTTCAGTTATGCGCCAGCAACAGCTCAGGAATGGCTTTTCCCCAACATGCTGATCGAACGTGGGGAACCGTTACAGGGGTTCATAGCTGCAGCAATGGCAGAGGAGCATCATGTCCGAGCTCTGTTGATGCTCCCGTGCCCCTTTGCGTCCCAGGAGCTGATACCGTGTGCACCTACAGGTTCACTAGGTGGGGGCTGTTAAGTTGGTTCCTAGGGTTGGTGGGCTACTGCCTTGCGCCCTGGCTACTGGTGGTACGGCTCCTTGAGTTGAAGCTTCTTCGTGGCAAGGGCGACACTGCTTTCGCACCAACTAAGGTTCTTAACACCTACCCAGGCTCTGCCGACCACCACATTGCTCCGGATAGAGGCACTCCCTGCTGTGAGCCGCGAGCCCGCTCCAGACCTCCCTTGATCAGTCAGAAAATGCGGAGGCAGGGGAAGGTTCTAGGGCTTCTGTGGCTGCTATGTTCCCCGGTTCAGGCCGTTCAGGTGTGGCCGGTTCGACGCTTCGGCGAGCACACAGTGTATGCAACTGGATCCGTACCGGATACCCGAGCTGTGAGTGATCTTGCACCAGCAAGCGTGGCCGGCACCCCCTGCATGGTACCGGCTCTTCAGCAGTCACCAACCGCCTTACGTGACATCGCTGTTTTTGCGCCTCAGGCCGACGCATGTCCAGTAGTTTTGCAGGTCGATGAGCGAGTGCACGGTGCACTTCTGTTCCGTTGGATCGGGGTTGCTTTGGGCTTCAGAGCTGACTACTGGCTCTTCCGCCGGCAAATCGAGCTGTTGCCATCCTTGCCCCCGGAGCAGTATGTTGTGTCGGCATGGAGTCAAGCATGGCACCAGATCTCAATTCCGGTTGATCTTCGACCTTTAGGTGGTAGGATAGCCCTTGCAGATGTGCATCGCAATCAACCGTGTGGACGTGTTGTTCAGGTGATTGCTCAGGCGCAAGGTTGTCTGCTGCCCCAGCACCTTCTATGCAGAGTTGGGGGTCATTGGTTCGAGCCAGCGGCATACACGATGCTTCTTCCCGGGGGTGATGCACTACAAGCTTGGCCTGCCGAAAATATTCCGAGAGCGGCTTTTCCCCAGCGTCCAGGCTCTTTATCCCCCAGGTTGTCCCTGGAGGATGTCTTTTCCGCTAGCCTGTCGCTTCCGTCAACTGATGAGTCGGCTTTCCACCATGCCAGCGGGCACAATGCTGTCATCATTACGCCCTTTGGGCTCCAATATGTGCACACCCCTCATTTTGCTGCTGCAGAGGACATTCGAATCAGTGCACTTCATGGGGTTCTTGGTTCAGTTAGCGATGGGGACCCCTTCCTCCGCATCCTCCCCCCACTTGCGCACTTGCCTGCTGTGCAGTTTGTCACTCTGCCCTCCCGTGCCGAGAGGCAACCTACTGTTCTTGACCTTAGGCCGGTTGGAGGTGGCATACATGTTGTCGCCTGTGATAGCGGCGATTCCCCAGAGGTCAGGTTGCGGACTGGTGTGGATGCATATGGTGCCCCACTCGTGGGAGAGGCCATTCTCCACGAACAGGAGCAAGGCCGGCTCCTCTTCCTCCATCAAGAGCGCCAAGTCGCCCCTGATATGCCCCTACACGTCGAGGGAGCCGTTGTGCTTGTGGTGCTGCCGCTCAGCACTGTCTCTGTCGAATCAGAAGGCTCAGAGCGCTCTGCAGGCCGCTTTGCACAGGTCCCGCATGTTTTGGTTCTTGGGGGTGCTTTTCATTTCTGGATGGGGACGCAGAGCTGCTTGTCTCTTGCCTTCCTTGGCTGCCTTGCGCAAGCTGCTTTTCTGGTGCCAGAGACCGCACCTGCGCCTCCTCCGTTAGATGTCTTCAAACTCGACGCTGAAGACAGTCCCCGTGTGCCAACAAAAGGGCTTGCCACGGTTGATGAGCATCAACGTTTCGCTACTCGAGTCCTGCATCTAGGGGACTGGGACACTGCCGACTGGCGATCTCTCGTGCCTCCGGCTCACAGTCACTTCGAGATCCAGGTATTCTCACCAGATGCTCGTTATGGCTTTGTCCTCCCCGGAGAAGGCTCAGCTTGGGATCTCAGGCATAATCTTTTGCATGTGGGCGGCCTGAGTGGACGGCAGTTGCCAGTCCTTGTCCAGCCAGCTCTGCGCTGTCGGTGTGTTCAGTTTGTCGCCCCTGCTAGAGACCCGACGTTGGTTACGCTTCTGGTTGATATCGGCACTCAGCTTGTATGTTTAGATGCCGCCAGAGGTAACGCAGGCCCAGGCATCCTTCAGGCACTCGAGCTTCTGTTCCCACAAGCTAACTTCCGGCTTGAGGCCTTCAGCCCTGCCCCGCTTAGGCACGGGGATGTGGTTGTAGCCCGTAACGACTGCGCTAGGACTTCTCTTGAACTGGGGGCTTGGTCGATTGCAGGGAGGTCTTCCCTTGGAGCCCTGTGGCTTACACCACATGCCGAGGTGTATCTGTCGACCTCCACTCATGCTCTTTTGCTGTTGCGTGTGCCCCTAGGGTTCACTAAATCCCAGCTTGTCGCAGCATCGCTCGATTGGTTTGGAAGCCCTGCACGTGGTCAGGACTTCATACGGCTCCCTCTTGACAGGCCTACGGTTGATCTCTTTTGCTGGCTGCAACCTGAGCGAAGTACTCTTGCGCTGGTCCTCACTGACATATCTGACTGCGAGGGCCGTCCGATTGTTCATACGGTTGCTGTAGATAGCACCGGACCACTCGTGCTGAGTGCTGCGGCTGCGAGTGGGGCCGCCAATGCTGATTTTTGGGCCGACGTGCTTAAGCGACAGCCAGTTGTTCTTCGTTATTTCGCCTTATCCCCTGAGCAGACAGCCAATGCCAGGCATTTCGTCTTTTATCACTTGGGGATAGATTTCTGTAGGGCAGGGACATGGATGGCGACCCACTCAGACCGTTTTGCCCAATGTGGTCGACCTGGTACAACTCCAGCCAGAGTTCTTCCAGCAGCCTGGTGATCTATTGGCCGATCGTCAGTCACCGCCTCATATGAAGTTGTGGCCTGCGAGCGCCAGGCCGCGGCCGGAGGGTTCTCGTCTACAACGGCGTGTGGCCCGTGGATGCACCCCAGCGCTAGTCCCCTTTCCTGCAGGAGGCCTACGCACATTAATGTGCCCGCATCAGGGTGTTACTTGTCAGGTCCCCCGTCCCGAACATTTTCAGGTTTGGGCTGTGCGTATCGGTGAATGGGTCAAGGCTGCATGTACCAATACCGTTGAATGGCAGCATGTGATGACACTGGGAGGCTTAACGTCGTGGGACTTGCCAGGTGTGGCAGTGCATGGTGCCGACCAGATTTGGTCATGGCCAGCTGAGTTAGCCGACTTTTCCGGGCAATGTGGCCACTTGCTCCAGGACGGGAGAGATCCCTTTGTCTGTGATGTACATCGAGGTGTCCTTTTCCAACTTGGCGCTGCTCGCAACGCCTCTGGGAGTCATGTGGCAGCGGGCGCGACGGCTCTGGCTGCCCGAACCTTCCGAGCCTCTTGGATCCTCTCTCTCAGTTTGCTCTTTGCGTTCCCGATGGCCGTGTCTGCTATGCCCACCATGCCTCACACATCGGATGAAGATGAGTGGGAAGAGCCCGCAGTTGTTCCGCAATACAATGCCACACCCACCTGCAATTTTGGTTGGAGCCACGAGTTGTCATGTCAAACCACGCTCTGTGGTGTTCACATCGAGGCCCTGCATCACCACTGTCAAGTTGCCTCCCCTTTCGAAGTTGTGCGTATTGCGGTTTGGACCCCCTTTATGGGGCCAAGTTTCTTCGACTTCCCGCGTGATGGCCCGCTGCATGCTTTTCGATTTTTGCTTCGTGAGGCCGGCTACCATGAAGAAGCCTGCTCGCTGCATATCGCGTTTGATACCTTACCTACGAGCTTAGAACTTGTCGCTTGCCCACAGGGTCCCCAACGTTGGTGGATTGTGCGTGATGGCATGGCTCGGGAGCTTCTTCGGCCAGTGCGGCCCTGGCTTGAAGCTGACGGCCGCCGTATCTTGACCGTCAACTCCCACGGGCAGGGGCAAGGCCTGTCCTACTCTGAAGAAGCGGGACGTATGCATTTGCTCCCGAATGGGGTGCGGGCTGCCATAACCTACCCCTTCTCAAGAGTCACAGGGAGGCTCTTTGAAGGTTGCCTTGAGCTGCTGGAACATAACATCGGGGTTCCTTCTGTCGTTGCTGCGGCAGCCTTATCCGGTCGAAGTAGCTGGAGTGTCTTGCTGGGCCTCGTGGTTTCCGTTCAGGCTATGCAGAACGATCTGGCCCTCCGATCTGCCACGGTAACCGCGCCAGTGCACTCAGATTGGGCCCCACACCGGCCGCAGCTTGTCCCCTCCCTCACGCGCATCTGGACTGCTACCTTGGCCGCACCCACCGTTGTCAGCTATCACGAGTGCCCAGACCCGGTCGCTATGGCTAGTAGTGTCGCTAACACCGCCAGGGGGCTGGCTCCCGTAGGGGATTTCGTCTGGACGACACCTCGAGTGGTACACGGCGTTGCTCACATCCTGCAGGTGCCACCGTGTTCTGCTCCGCCTCTGACCTACTGGTTACTACACTTCCGAGGAAGAGCCGTCGTTATCAGTTCGCCCCGTCAAAATTTTGACTGGCAACACATAGCTCAGGTTGCTTCTGAGGAGTTTGGTCATGCTTTCTTTGCGCAGGGCCATTTTGCTGTGTGGCATGGAGGGCGCACTATATCCTTCAACACGCAGATTCCAGCTCCGGCGCATGGCACCATTGTGACCCTTGTTCGCACTACGCCGGCTTCTTCTGTGGGACTCTCTGCATGGGATACGCCGGCTGATCTGCCTATGACACATCATTTTGAATATGACATTTGTAGGGGACCTGGAGGGGAAGTTCCCTTGCCCGGGGAGCTTTGCGCACATATGGGACCACATGGGTTGCTTGGAACAAGTACCAATCGCCGCAATGCGGTTGATACAACATCAGGTCAAGCCCTCACTCCTGCGCCTGCCCTGGTTCGCCAGATCAACGAAGTCAGTCATCAACTCATTTTGCTTACGACACGCCTTGAATCTGCTGGTGTGTTGCCTCAGCAGGAGGCTGCTGCCTCGATTGAAGCACCAAATTTCCGTGGGGATGCTGCACAGGCTGCACAGGTTGCACAGGCTAGCGGTCATGACGAACCGCACAGTGGTGGTAGAGGTATCCTTCCCATGCTTACCTGCCTCGGCAGCTTGTTTAGTGTGTCGACCCGGGCACCCATCCTGTGCCTCTGCCTTGTCCTTCGGGCGGTAGCTAACGGGGACACTGACAACACCGGATCATCTGAAGAAGAGCAAGAACCGAGCTCGCCCGACCTTTCTGGGGTGGCTCCTCCCACCCCTGGTGGAGAGCTTCTAGGGCCAGATCATCAAGGGGGGGCGCTCCTTCGTCCTAGTGACGAGCCAGGCGCCAGCACTTCCGTCCCTAGCGAGGCCGCCCCGCCACCGGCCTCCCTGTTTCAACCTGCAACGATTCCACTCCTCCAGCACAGAGTCACTGCTTACCTCCAAGAGGTTGGAGAACCTGGGCATGCGCCAAGGCCGTTTTTACCCGAAGGTTGCCCTTTGACTGTGCACAACCCTTTCACGCGTAATGCGCAGTGTCCAGTGCTTTCGCCTCTGATAGGGACGGGGTTTGCATTTCGGCTCTTTTTGCAGGACTATTCTGGTCGACGAGGTTGGCAACCGATTGTACCTGTACAACCTCAGCCGGATGAGCGTGCTATACATCTTATCCCGGCGGCCGCCGACCCATCTCTTGTGTCGGTTCTTTTGCGCACGCCAGATAGGCTGCACCCTATTTGCCTTCCTCGTGTGCTCCCGGTTGGCCCCAGCCGCTCCATTACCTTGGCCGGCAGATTCGGCAGACTGCGAGAGCCCTATCCGGTGCGTCGCCTTGCTGACAGGCCAGTCTACTTGCGTGACGGAGACTGCCTGCAATTGGATCAGGGGCCTTTTGGGCCGCCGCCACCCACGCCTGCTAGATCAGGCGCTCACAGCGTGTCGCCGCTTATGTAACTTATGTGGTTGTGCCTGCTGCGGAGTGTCCGCTTGAGTGGATGGTTATTAGCTGTTAGTGGTCTCGGGGCTCTTAGTATGGTTGCGCACCCCGAGCTCAAGGCGGTGCCCTTTCGAGAAGCTGCTCATGTCAGCCGCTTCCCATGGCGACGGTTTCGTGAATCGCAACAGCTGGGCCCGTTGGCAGTAAACGGGCGGGTTCGCTGCTCACTCTTGTGCCCCATGACCGGACCACAAGGTGCATACGAGATGGCACCATCCGAATCATATACGGATCTCCTTACACACTACCAGCAAGTCAAAGGGCACTGGATCCGCGACGTGCTGCCGGTGTGGCCTCAGCTGCACCGTGACATCATTTCCTTTGTCCCAGATGTGGATCCATTCAGGCGATGCGTTTGTGTGCTTTGGAGAGAAGGTGGTACCTGCAAAGCTCTCCTTCTGCCTGCAAAATGCGACGAGCGCACCCTACTAGGTATTTTAACGTACCAAACAGGTTGCGAGGTGAGGGCGATACGGTTTCCTCCTGCGTTACTTGCCGCCCGTAACCGCCTACCCCGGCGCGATCTTCAACTGCGTCCGGCCGATGTTCTTGCTCCAAAAGCTGCTGCAGGGTCTGCTGCACGTGATATGCCAGTCGTCTCCTTGCACATGTGGGACCATATTCAATGGAACTCTTCGTTCGAGGTCGAAACTGGCTGTGACGCCGCCTTCTGGCATCCCGCCATCAATCGTCCCCTCATTCGACACCTCCCTCCAGGTGTGCAATGGGATGCTGAAGCCTTGACGTTTTTGGGTGCCTTCGCTGAGGCCTGCCCTGGTGCTTGGGTTCCCGTTATGTGGCAACCCACGTCGCGACCACACTTCATTCAAGCAGCTGAGCGGCCCGGGCGTGCACACATCCTGCATGAGAGCCGCGATGGTATCTCGCCGTTGTATTTCTCCGCATGTACATCTCGAGCAGAACTTGCCGAGGAATTGCATACATTGCCGGAGCATGTGATTGTACCAGGTGCGTGCCTCGACGATCATCACGGCCCACTCGTCCTGCGTGACGGGGATGTTGTGTTGGATTTGTTCACATATGACAATCCTTCCTCTGGAGTTTGGGAAATACTCCCTAACTGGGCCAGTGCTAAGAGGGTCGGACCCTGGGGATGCCTTTTAGTGACTCGCTCTTCTCCGGTTCTAGGCCTCCTTTGCCTGATTCACCAGGCTGCTGCGGCTCGCACACCCCGGTGTCATTCGTCTAGTATGTCCAGATCTAGATCATCATCATCCGACAGACTCAGCCCTCGCGCGGCATCTTGGAGACCCGAGCATCCCGAACCGCTCTCAGATGTCATTACTTCAGGTGCAGCACACTACCATGTGGTGTCTCCGTTCCATGGTATTGGCCCTGTTGCGCATGGTTATAGTGATACCACAGGGCACTCACTGGACTTTGTTACCCGTCGGTTCTGCGGTCCCTGGTGCAGTTTTCATGTCTTGGTTCCTCCGTTACTCGAACGTCGGCCTATGTTACTCCTCCCAGGGGGTCTGCCAGACCTTGCCACGATTGTTGTCTTCACGGCCGAACAATTGAGGGCCATGTTGGTTCCGCGACTATTCACGGTGCGGGAACTCACCGCGACACTGTGTCGCGAAACACCGTCCATTGGCAGTTACCTCGGTCTGCCGCCGGCCCTGCGGCAGCATGCGTCGCTGCAGAGTATGCATATGCACCTCAGAGATGGCGACACATTTGGGTGGCAAGTGAATGCTGGCCACTCGATGTATCGGGAGCAGGTTCTCCACAGCTACAGGTGTGTAAACTGGCTGCCACATCATAACGGATGGCACTGTGACTTTGTTGTTCGTCACGGCGGTTGGGTTTGGGTCTGGAATTCTGAAGGGCACCCCGACACACGTTGTGAACGCCACTGGATCTCACGTGGGAGCCAATGGATAGCAGGTTCACTTCAGTTTGTTCGGCCAAGATGTACACCAGATGAGAAAAGATGGATCCCCGCAATCCATCTGGACGATGGCAAGTGCCACTTTGTACTCCAGTCTCCTCCCGGGTTTGCACGTGTTCTGCTTTACAGGCCGTTCAGCAATGACGACCTGGAGTGCCACCTAATTGAACCAGCAGCAGGCATATGTTCGCCGCCTGAGGATTGGACTTTGGCCCCGCGTGCTCGCAGGTGCTCGGGACGCGATGCTTTGCGGGATGGTGATGTCCTGCACCCTACCCCCCTGCCCGATACCTTAGCCATTGGCGTCTCTTTAGGCTTGATGGGGGCTAAGGTCTCAGTCCGCTGGTCAGTTCTCATCCTTGGTGGGCTCCTGCTGCCTGGAGGGTCGCTTGCCATGCTGGTCCCAGATGAAGGGCGCGTGACGCCGCCAGTCTGCGTTGGCAAATTTCCTTGGCGGGTCCCATATAGCGAACGTGCGCTCCATGAGACTGTGCAGGAGGGGCAAAACTGTCGTCTCCTCTCACCTTTTGCGGTCTTGGATAATCAGACCTTTGCTGCTGGTCCTAACGACACAGTTGAAGAGGTCCGTTTGGCCCTCACAGGCTCGGAGCCGGCTTGGTCCTTCGATATCACGCCAATCTGGCCGGCACCATCACCCACCGAACTGTCCTTTCTTCCAGTTGCTCCCTCCGCCTCGCTCTCTACAGTTCTGGTGCTTACCCCTGACTGGCAGTTACCTATGCTTCTGCCTCAGCGTGCCGATGCCAACTGGGTGCTGGCCTACCTTCGCAGTGTGTCTCCTGGACCGGTCTCTTCGCTTCGCCCTCCTATCAATGCAGCCATTCATGGCGCTAGTCACAATGAAGCTGTTCTGTGGAGGGATGGGGATCTCATCCTGGCCTTTCCTACCGATGCAGACTTCAGTGCGATCGACATGCCTGCTTTTCGGTCGGCACTTGTGCCGCACCTGACTGCTCAAGTGAGACACTCCGCCTTGTGGGCTCTTGATTTCTATGTTGACATTGCGCTTGAGGTTGTTCTTTGGCGGCCCGGACGTCGCCCCATTACTACCAAGATTCCTCAGCCTGTGCTGTGGTGCGCCTCTGAACAGCAGTTCCGAGGGCCCTTTTTATCTCGTTATCCTGGCCGTTGGGTTCCGGTTCCATGGATTTATTCGGATATCCCGCATCTCTGTCAGTGCTCAGATGTTACGGAACTGCGCACCGTCATCATCGAATCTTTCACGGATGGGCGACTTATCGGCCAGTGTCACGTTGTACATGCATGTGCTAACGCTGACACATGCCGCATGCTTGTCGATCGCCTTGAGGCCCCTTGCTACCTGCTTGGTGCCACTCGCGACAAAGAATGGGGCGAACTTCGCAATGGGGATGTTGTGCATTTCCCCGACAGCGCTGGGGTTGCTTCTACCACTCCCAATTGGAGTGTTCTGTTTCTTCTTTTTGGCGCGCTAGCCTGTCGATCTCCACGGTGTAGCGCGGCCATGCTTCTTACTGCTGGACTCGTTTGGGCAGGCACAAGCACTCGGATCCCACACAACACGCTTGGTCCCCAGTCGTTTTCCGGAGTTGCGTGGTGCCCCTATCGGGGCCCTATCGGGATTGGTCGAGCTCCTAGTGTCGGAGCAGCCTGCAACTATGGCCCCTCCTGGGACGCTCAGGTCCTTCCAATACGTCCAGCTCCGTCTGCTGCAGGCCCCAATTTTGTGTTGGCGCCCGTGATCCCGGAGTTTGCCACTGTCGTGGTTGTGGGAGCTCCATTCGTCAAGGCGCTTCTCCTCCCTAGGCTTCTTCCTCGAAGCTTGCTTTTAGAAATTCTATGGGAGTCTTTTGGCCCAGTTTGTCACGTTGCTGGCAACTCTGCTCTCTTGGTGCACCCGCAAGAATGGCTCCGTTTTGAGGACGGTGACTGCATTCGCGTTAAGGGAGCCTGCTGGGTCCCCTCCCTGCCACCGCCCTTGGTGTGTGATTTTGCTACACTGTCACAGGCCACAAGGCAAGGTATATGGAGTCTGCCGTTGACATTCCGCGATGTTGGCTGCTGCATGTTGTGGCGGGACATAGGGGTTCTGCACCAGCGAATCCGCTTCAGCGGTCGGCAGCTGTGGGATCCTGCACGTGGTCTGCTGCTTCCTTGTATGCAAGACGAGCTTGAAAGTTGGTGGCCGACCCTCGATGCCCCGAATAGTGGACATGTTCTGAATCTCCAACCTTTTCAGTCTGCCCAGAGCCGTGCTCTTGATGGGGACTACGGGCCACTGGCGACAGGATCTAATGCTGTATCCTCTGACTGCAGGCCTTCCCTTTCTCGTCCGCGTCTTGCCACGCATCATGTGCTCCCCCTCCTGGTTGCCACGTGGAGATTACAATCTCGCGGCAAGGTAAGGAGTATCGCTTGGATCTCCCTCTTAGTGCTCGGGTGTTACCTTGCCGCCATGGGTGCTCCCGTCCAATGGGAATCTCAAGGCACTGATGTATGGGACCTTGACCTTCAGGAGGTCTGCAGGTTACAGGCCCAGCTACATCAAGGCTGGTGGCTGCATGGGCTGGCGGATGAGCTCCCCACAGCCCTGCCCAGGTCATACCATGTTGCTTGGGCAGCGGAGCCTTGGTTCGGCTCAGGCCCCCCCGATAGCCTGCTTATCGCTACTGACGGCAGTGGTGACGGTGTCGGAGCGTGGGCATTTGTAGTATGGGGCCGTCACGGATGCAGTTGGCGTCGCCTCGGTTGGGCTGCCGCCTCCCTACCTGGGACCCCTTGGCTTCCTGCGGACATAAAGCATACTGCATCCCTTCAGCTCTCGTATGTTGCCGAGCTAGCGGCTTTGCAAGCAGCTGGGCACTGGTGTGCTGCCCTCAGTGACCTGTGGCAGTTACGTACGGGACATCGGCCGAATTCGGTCACTCTCGCTGTCGACAACTCATCAGCCCTACAGGTCGCTGCAGGCTATGGCGCTGTTGGCTCGGAGTCTGCCCGACGGACTCGCGCCGTGTGGCAATCAGTGCAGACAAGGATTACCAC